ACTGAATTTACCTGCAGTATGATCAGCTTTAAGTGTTTGTGCTCATATAAATAAGTACTATTTTTTTCCTGTTCCTGCAGACTTTGAAAAACAACTTTTTTTTTGGCAAATTATATTATGTTTTTGACAGATTTTTATCAACTGTGGGAAACTAACCACAGAGCTGATAATCTTTCTTAAAAACAACCCAGTTATAGATAGTAAAAATGGCCCAAGACTTATTGCAGAAATATTTTTCCAAAGGACTCTGGGAAAGAAAAATTGCCTGTATTCTCAAGTCAGAAGCACTTGAAACAAAAAAAGTGATCCCAATAGAGCTCTATGAGTTTGCACTGCAAAAATGTGACATTCCTCTAAATTATTTCATGGAATTTTTGCTAAAATTCAGCCACACAAGAAGTTCCCAGTCTACCTTATTTAGACACGAAATGTGAACACCTTTTTAGATATTAGCATTAATAAACCCCAGTGACCTAGACTGGCTACATTAATGCTCATAGTTGATCTCTCTGTTTCCCAGGAAAAAGAAAATTGCTAACCTTAGAGAAAAAAAAATTTTTTTAATGTGAGTTTCAGTATTGCAGTTATCAATGTAAAGAGCATTTGATGGTTATTAATTTAAAATATCCCAATTAAAAAAAAATGAAAAGTCAAACCAAAAAGAGCAAATGCCAGCTTTGGGATAGTCAGCAGGGATGGGAAATTGCCTCCTTTACAACCCACGTGCTTTTCAAAGCGGGCAGCACGCTAGTCGAGATCATGTACTCTGGCTGGGTTGGTATAAACTTCACTGCACAACTATACAAAAATGAAGTCCTGAACCCCTTCCCCCAATCCTGTCTCCTCACTCGCTTTCAGCCATTCTCCTTTAATTTAAGGGATCCAATGTCTAAGTTACAGAAAAGAAGAGAGGAAAATGACAATCTTAAGTGAAAAAATAAGACCATTTAAATTTAACAAGAGTGGAATACAGTCATTAATACTGTAATAAGTATGCACAGATGGTTACTATAGACTTGTGGTGATCACTTCATAAGGTATATATAAATATTGAATCACTATGTTGTATACCTAAAACTAACATTTTATGCCAACTATAATTTTTAAATAAAAATAAATTTAACAAAAGTACATATACACTCAAACTAAAGCCACATAGTATTCAAAGGCCTAACTTTTTACTCATTTGGATATGAGCACTGGTAAACTCCAATTTCACAGTCTAGCTAAGACTGCATTAAAAGAATGTGCCCATAAGTATGTCACCTAGAATAATATTTCAGAAAAATAAAATACTGAACAGGACACAGATATTTACACAACAAATCTTTAATACCCTACTTTGCCTCTGAAGCTGAATACTACAGGAACCCTTTCCCCATACTAAGTTGTAGATAGTTTATTTCTTTTACATTTTTAATCTTCATACAGTCTAAGAAACATTTCAAAGTTGGATGACTGATATGTCTCCAGCTATAGTCATACTCCCCATATGAAAGACCAAGACACCAAATAAATTCATTTTCATCCAATGATGGAACCATCAAGGAAGCTGTCATAGCAAAGCCGAAAGTTGACAAAGAAAAATAATCAGCTGTGATGGATGGGAAGAAAACTCAAATGGATAAAGAGGGAAACTGCCAATGTCTTGACAGATTTAACTTCCCCTATTTCTCCAAAATCCCTAGCTTTCTAAGGAAACCATTGGTTTTAAATTAATTCGTTTAAATTTCTTAAAACTGTAGAATACTAAAATATGTAGTGGAAGAAGCTATATACCAGTTATCACCTAAACCTATTAAATTAACAAAAATTAAAATTAGTAAATCCCACTACAGGCATACCTCATTGTATTGCACTTCACAGATACTGCATTTTTTACAAATTGAAGGCAAGACCTCCACCAGCAAAAAGATTATGACTCGCTTTATGGCAGTGGTCTAGAACTGAACCCACAATATCTCCGAGGTATTAATGATGTTGTGAAATTAGTATTTTAACACATTACTAGTGGTAGTGTAAACTGTTTAAAAATAGTCTGAAAATGCATTTCCTGGACCATAAAATTATATATTCTTTAACCCAGTAATCCCACTCTTGGGATTAGGAAGATTTTCATCAATGTCATAAAATGGTAAAAAAATGAAAATCATTAAAAATGTTTCAACAATAAGGAACAGCTAAGTTAAATATGGTACACCAACTAAGTGAAAGAAGAGCTATATCATTATTGTAAATCATATTTGCACAAATGCCACGAAAAATTAAAGCCAGTAATTACTCCTTAGGATGTTGAGATTCTGGGTTCTTTTTTCATAATTTTGACAAAAATGTTCTTTTAACAGCAAATATCAAGAAAATAAATGTCGACAGTTTTTGTTTTATAGGGCTATTTAGGATAACCTATTGACATAGAGCATTCTATATACGCAAGGCTACTTAAATTTTAGAATTAAAACGAAATGTTAAGGACCACATAATCATAAGAAAAAATCAAACACCTGTTAGGTATGACAACAGAGCATTTACTATTACATATTTTCACCTCTTGGGAAACCTTGACAGAAAAAGATAAAAGATATTTGCAATGATTACAAGAAACATTGTCTGCTAGTTTTGTTTTCTTTTTAAATTTAACTGCCAAGATAATCCCATCAAACATTCCAGCCAGACAAAATACTAATAACTCACTTCCTACCTACAGATAAAATCAAGGTATTTTAAGTGAGAACACAATTCCATATAGATAAAACTGCTAAAATACCCAAGAACTAGCAAGTTAAAGATGAAATTTCATTTTAGATAGAAATGACTGAAAGGCAAACCAAGACTTCCAGAAAAATTCCCAAAAGCTTTCAAAACAATACACAAACAAGCCAGAAGTCAATTATTTAACACATGAGAAAATAAAAAGCTGAATGAACTCCTGTTCTCTAGAATCACATTCTCCCTCCAATCAGGATACTGTAAAAAAGAGATAATATGCAAAAACATCTTCAATCACAACAAACTATTCTTTTTACATGACCAGTGGGTCTAATCGCAGCTCATATTTTGACAAGAACCTTAACTTGTCTTCAAGAACAATAGGAATATACAATAGTTGGCTCTAAAGACAAAATTTTAAAACCTGGAATTTAAACAGGGCTACTTAGATAGGTCTGTGCTGGCTTAGCCAGCCTTCCATGCTAATCTGCTCTTTTCTTTAAATAAATTGTTTCGGCTTTGAATAACCTTGTTTTCATTAGCTTTCCATTAACTTACCCTTTTTAAAAACTCCCTTGGCATAGTTATTTATATATTGTCCTAGGCTTGAGATTCCTTCAAATCAGAGTAGACTGTTATAAGAGTATCTTAACTGATGCTAAAGCCAATGTTTGTTCTTATAAAATCAGAATAATATTTTCTTGTGATTATTTGTATCTTTGATTACTTGTATCAGTAACAGTACATATTAAATCCAAACAAATCTAAAATGGTGTTTTAATTGGCAGAAAGTGACAGAGGCATATAGTAGGAAAAAAATACCCTGTAAGGCAAGACACCCTCACAGAAATGAAATCTTAATTCCATGCAGAAAAAGAATACTGTAACCAGCAGTTGCTCTGATTATATCCCAATCCTACCAAAAGGCTGAGCAGAAAAAGGCAATTAAAAAAAACCTGTTATCTGGCCTGAACATTTCATTAATTTGCATCAAACGATTTCCCTTATTCAACATCTCTTTCCTTGTACCACAATCTGTTAAGTTACACACAACACACAGTTCTGCTTTGCTTTCTTTAGCTTTTAGTAAGAGCACTCGTATTATCACTAAAATACCAAGTTCTTGAGAAATCCCAACCAGGAATCAGATGATTAGTAGCTGCACTACTAAGTTTCATTTCCGCAAGAAAAAGTTGCTCTTTCTTGTCACTCACGTGTGTTAAAAAACACCAAAACAGAAACCTTAACATTCAGCACTACGCCCAGTCTTCACTAACAGTTCTGGAATCATAAAATGATCATCTGGACTGCCAGAAGACGGTAGACTTTTTTTTTTTTAAAGCAGTGGAACATTCCTTCAGCAAAATCCTTTATAAAAACAGTTCAGTGGCTCTGGTTGAGCTGCTCTCATTACTAGGTGAAGAGCCAAGCTCACTAAACCTTGTTCCCAATCAACCCCAAGACAACCAGCCTCTGCAGCCACTCAGGGAAATCCTTGCAACACACTTTGAAAAACACTGATCTAGTCCATATATTTTTAGTATCTTTTTAAAAATGTATGATGATATTTTTCAGAAAGACAAAAAATAAATTCCTTTATTTATAGGTCAGAAAAGTGAGGCTCCAAAGCAAGCAAGTGACTTGCCAAAAGCCATTAGCTAATTAAAGGCAGGAACCAGAGTCCTGACTCTCAGTTTCATTCTATCACTCTAGTCCCTACACTACCATATTGTCAAATTACTAACAGGCAGTTTTATCCAAAAGTGTTAAAAAGGCTTTTCCCATATACTTGCACAACATATTATATGGCTCCAATTTTAACCTGCCAATAAATAAACTGTTTATAGAAGCTAGTTTGTCCCCATTCTAATAACATTTCTTAGATTTAATTTCTTACCAGTTGTCACACAGTCTAATGTCCTGGTCATCTAGAAATTCGGCCATCTTTAGCTCTTCCTGAAAACTAGAGAGAAACAAGTGATCACTTTCAATTTCATTTCTGCTTTAAGAATGACAAGCAAAAGAGAACAAAAAACTAGAGCACAGAAAACATCACCAAAACCAGTGCATTTAAGGCAACTTATTTAAGACCCAACACATGGGTTTTACCTTATTTTTTAATTTTCGTTTTAAAATAATTTGACTTGCAAAAACAGCACAAAGAACTCCTATATACACCTTACTCAAAACATCATAATCTTACCATAGTAAGATTATCAAATGCAGAGAAAACTTAACACTAATACAATACTAGTATCTAAATTTCACAAATCATTCCACTAATGGTTCAGGATCAAATCCAGAGTCACATACTCATTTAGTTATTTCTCCTTAATCTTCTTTGATCTGGGATATTTCTGTAGTCTTTCTTCATCTTTCATAACCTTGTTAAGTGTACTGGCTAGTTATTTTGTAGAATGTTCTTTCATTTGGGATTGTTTGATGTCTTCTCATGATTAATACATATTCGGCAAGAATACCACAGAAGTGATGTTGTGCTCATCTTCGTGCATATCAGAAAGCATATGATGTCAGCAGGCTTATTATTCCACGTGATGCTAACTTTGATCACTTAATGAAAATAGTATCTGCCGGATTTCTCCACTGTCAAGTTTTTCCTTCTTTTTAAACAAGATATCAATGCAGAAAGCAAAGTGCCAGCAACTTTCTTAACAATATTTACTTTAGATTATTCCTTTCAATGAAGCGAAAATGGTCTTAAAAACTGGCCCCTAATAGAGCTCTTGAATGATTTTGACATTACCAAACTTTTCAAAACACGTATTCATTCATTCATTCAGTCAGTCAGTCAGTCAGTCAACATGTTTATTAAACCTTAGTGTCAAACACTGTACCCTGGCACTAAGAAGATTTTACAAATTAAAGAAAAAAAGTGTCTGACTCAACAGATTCAATTTAGTAAAAAAGAAAAATAAGCAAAGAAATACATATACCTTAAAGTGAGCATATTGATAGAAAAATACATAGACAAAGGAGGTCGGGAGTGGAGGGAATCTACTTTAGATAAAGGGGGGGTGGGTGAGGAAAGAACATTCTTAGGAGATGACATTTTAAACTAAGACCTGAAGTTTAAAAGAGCCAGTCATGCAAAGAGCAAGTCAAGATAGCAGATGAGAGTGGGGGGAAAACCTATCCGGGCAGTGGGTCTAAAAGGTAATGAAGGAGAATGCAAACATAGATCTGAGTGAGCGTAACGAAAAAGGGAATGATTCAAGAAGCCTTATCCTATAGGACAGAAAGGATGTTGGGATCCTATTCCAAACTCCATGGTAAACCACAGAAGGGTTTTCAACCAGGGAGTGGCAAGATTCAAAATATCCACTCTGACTGACATGCAATGTCAACTAGGGATAGGAAGCACCTAGCTATGAAAATAAATCTCGCTCCTAAAAAGAGGGGGGAAGCACAGGTGCGTTTCTCAGGGGCTGATTGATTCTAGGTGTGATCTAGCCCAGCCCACTAAACCCAGGCCAGAGCCTCGGATGAGGAAGCACCGGGTTTTCCAGCTGTAAGGGGACTGGGGATGGAATGCAGGGCTCAGGGTCGGGCCCCTGGGAGAGTCCAATTCTGGCTGTGACACTCAGTCGGGGCGTGATTTAACCTTTCTGGCTTCCAATTCCTCACGCAGACAACTGACAATACTTGCAACTGTCGTCGTGAGACGTGAAGGGGAGAATGCACGGTAAGTGCTTTGGTACAGTCAAGTCTTCAACCTTAAGAGCCCCTCCTAGGGACTTGGGCGGCCGCCCCTCAGCCCGAAGGGGAGGAGCCACCCCTTCAGGGTCCAGACCCAGGAGGCGATTCCCAACGCCCCCTCCCGCAGCGAGGTCGGGATAGTGTGTGGAGAGGGCACCAGCTTCGCAAATGGCAGCAGTTAACCTTGACTGTGCGTTGATTGTTTGCTAAACGCTTTTCACGGCAATCGTTTAATCCTTCCAGGTGAAAGTCAGTATCCCCATTTTAGAGACCGCGACAGCGTTAAGTCCGGGAAGACAGGTACGGCCCCCAGTTGGTCAGAGTGGGGACTCGAACTGGGATCTGTCGGCCGAGAGCCCGCGGCCCCTCACGCCGGCAGCTTGAAGATCGGGCCCGGCTCCGCCTCGGGCGCGGTGGCCTCGGGGCACTCCGGACGACACCCGCTTGCCCGCCGCCAGGGGCCAAGGCCGGGAAGGGGCCGCGGCGCCGCCGGGGGTGTGTTGAGGCTCCGGTTCCCTGAGGAGAAAGCGCGGCCTGCCCCACTGACTGGAGGAGACGCCGCGGCACAGGCATCTTTCTCCTCGCGGCCGCGACCCCCGGGCCTAGAGCCCCTTAACCCACACCCCGCCCTCAGGGCACCGGCCTTTCCCCCAACTAGAAGCCGGAGGAGGCTCCCCAGACATGTGCCGCCGCTACACTCACCTGGGATGAGAAGAACGTCGAACAGACCCACTGACCACGGACACCGAGCCCCCTCACTCAGCCCCCGTACTGAACAACGGCCCCTAGAGTCGCCTCACCACTTCCGACCGTCGCGAAGGAGCACGCCCATTGGCCAGGGGCGGTCCGGCTGTCGGCCCATTGGATAGCATCTTTGTCGCTCCCAGAGCCCCGCCTTCTGCTCGCCAATTGGCTCCTCAGAGCCCTACGGGGGCGTGTCCCTAGAAGTCCAGCCCCTAAACATCTGGAATAAGGGGCAGAGATTGAGCTGTGATCCTGGTCTAGGCCAGGGCCTGCCCATGACACAGGTTAATAATATTTGCATGAATAATACTGTATAAACATTATTAATACAACTAATATATTAAGAAATGAATGTCATTTGTTCTCGGGTCATAAGCTATTAATACTTATTAGTCATTCTTGTTGCTATTACAATGCCCTCCTGCAAGACATCTGCAAGGATCTGCCCATATTTGAGCACTTTGCTTTCTGCGGTGGACGAGGGAGAGGCTGAGACACAGGTCTGAGTCCCAGTTACTTCCCTTGCTGCCTATATAGATTCGCTGAACTCCTCTTCCCTCACAAATAAAAAATAAATAAATAAAAGAATATTAAATGTAACTGAGAACATACTGTTAACAAATCTACAATACAGAATTTTTTTAAAGATTTTATTGGGGAATTGGGGAAGGGGAACAGTGTTGGGGAATTGGGGAAGGGAAACAGCCAAGTTGTCCTTCAATCTTAGTTGTGGAAGGCGCAGCTAGCTCAGCTCCAAGTCCAGTTGTTGCCATCTGGCCTCCTGACCCCCCTGCATAGCTCATGGTCGCTCAGCTCAAGGTACTGTGTTCACTCTTAGTTGCCGGGGGGGGGGGCGCAACCCACCATCCCATGTGGGAGTCGAACCGGCAACCTTGTTGTTAGGAGCACGTGCCCTCACCAGCTGAGCAGGCAGCTCAGGGCAGCTCAGCTAGGGCTCAGCTCACTAGCCCATGTGGGAATCGAACCGGCGACCCTGTTGCTCAGAGCTTGCACTCTTTTTTTAAAAGATTTTATTGGGGAGTCAGGGAAAGGGAATAGACAAGTTGCTGTCCTTTTGTTCTTCAGTCTAGTTGTGGAGGACGTCGCTTCACTGGCCCATGTTGGTATTATCATTGCACTCTTCCCAGGTGAGGCAGTCACTCACCAACCATTGGACAGCCGCTCACAGTGGCTCATGGCAGCTCACAAAAGCTCACGCCCGCTGCCGGCCAGCCCCACTGCAGCCTATGCCATCACCAGTGACTCATGGAAGCCCAGCTCCAGGTTAAGCTGTTGTTCACCATCTTAGCTATAAAGTACGCAGAGTCACTGGCCCTCATGTGGGATCTGAACCAGGGTCCTGCTGCTCAGAGCTGGTATCCCAAGCCAACTCCTAACCAACGTGCCACTCGGCCAGCCCAGAGCTTGCACTCTTATCCAACTGAGCCACTCAGCTGGCCCTACAATACAGAAATTTAAAATCATGATTTTATTGTAGATAATTGCAAAATATTCATGATATAGTGCTAAGTAGGAAAAGCAGTTTACAAAGCATTATTTATTTGTAACAGGACAGGATATTTAGTTTAAATAGACCGTATATTCTGTGTGAATCCAAAGATATAAAATTGAAAAACAGGCAAAATTAAACTAAAGTGAGTGAAGTCAGGGTCCAGCAGAGTGGCTCAGTTGGTTAAGAGCATGAGCTCTGAGCAACAGGGTCTCCGGTTCGATTCCCAGATGGGCCAGTGAGCTGCACCTGAACTGAGCTGCCACTGAGCTGCCAACAGGTGGCAGGATGGCTCAGCTGGTGAGAGCACGTGCTCTTAACAACAAGGTTGCCTGTTCGACTCCCCCATAGGATGGTGGACTGCACCACACCCCCACCCCCCAACCTCGCAACTAAGATTGAACATGACACCTTGAGCTGAGTGGCTGCCAGCTGCCAATGGGCATCTGGATGGTGACTGGACTTGGAAGCTGAGCTAGCTGCACCCTCCACAACTAAGATTGAAGGGCAACAACTTGGCTGTTTCCCCTCCCCAATTCCCCAACACTGTTCTACTCCCCCAATTTCCCAATAAAGTCTTTAAAATAAATAAATAAATAAATAATAAAGTGAGTGAAGTCAGAATAATGGTTCCATTTGAAGGGTATGGACTGCAAGGGAACATGAGAAAGATTTCCAAGTCCTGGCAATGTCCTATATCTCGATCAGCAAAGTGGTAAACACAGATGTATTAGCAAACAGTCACTAAGCTGTACACTTAAGATTTAAACACTTTACATTGTATGTTAAAGAGAACATACCATTCAATATTGTTCTGCATCTTGGCATTCTTTTGTAATACTGTACTGCAATACATAATCTGTCTTGGAGCTCTATCTATTATTGGCACATCTATCTAGAGTATTTTCATTCTTTTCCAATAATAATTCTATTGTGTAAATGTATCATGATTTATTGAACCAGTTCCCTGTTGTTAAATATTTTGGCTATGAGCAGTTATTTTTGAATACAGCATAACCAGTACCTGAAGTCCAGAACTGCTTCAGCGCCAGCCTCACTGAGATGCTGAGCAAATGTAGAATGCTCCCTGTAAGATACAATACTGGAGCTTCAGTGGCAAACAACAGGACAAGCTCCTTCCTTCCCAATAGTTTACCAGGGAGACAAGCACAATGGTAATGAAAATGAGTGTGATACATGCTGTGGCATCATGAAGAATATACAGGTTTACCCACTGTCCAAAAGGTGACAATGCCTATGAAACCTTTCATATGCCCAAATGGTGTAAAGCGGAGAAGTATTTACCGTAGGACACATCTTGCTAACAGGTGCACAAAATAAATTGAGCATAGACATAGTTCAAAGCTATGGCAGCTCCATGCTGAGATGCTGAGTGTAGTTCCCCAGGAAGGAACTTGGCGGTGCCACTCACGCTGCTCAATGTATAGGCTACCTCTATAACCACTCACTGCAAAATAAATGCTGAACACTATTTTCACTTTTCACCTTTTTTTGTAAAAGATATAGACTATTTTGATCCCTCTTCTGTCAATCCCCACCCCTTCCTCAGCCCCTGGCAGCCCCTAACATGCTTTCTATTACTGCAGAGTGGGGTTTCATATATGTGGAACCATACGGTGTGTGCACTTCTGTGTCAGGTTTCTTTCACTCAGCATGATGTTTTTGAGGTTCATCCATGCTGTTGATAATATCAATAATTGAGTCCCCGGGGCAGCTGGGTTAGCTCAGTTGGTAAGGGTGCAGGGCTCATAACACCAAGATTGCTGGTTTGATCCCTGCATGGTCCACTGAGCTGCACCCTCCACAACTAGATTGAAACAACTGCTTGACTTGGAGCTGATGGGTCCTGGAAAAACACACCATTTCCCAATAATAATAATAATATAAGAATAATAACTGAGTCCCTTTTATTGCCTAGTAACATTCCATCCTGCGGATATACTACAATTTGTGTTGACAGACATTAGAGTTGATTCCAGTTTTGTGCTAATATGGATAAAGCTGCTGTGAACATTCTGTACACAACTTTTGGGAAGACACGTTTTTATTTCTCCTGGATAAATACTTAGAAGTGGAATTGCTGGATCACATGGTAAATCTATATTTTAATTTTACAAGAAACTACCAAACTGTTTTTCTGAAGCAATTGTACCATTTGACATTCCCACCAGCAGCGAATGAGAGTTCCCATTGCTCCACGCACTTGCCAACTTGGTATAAATACATTTTGAATAAATAAACAGACGAATAGTGATCCTGTCTCCTGGGAACAACTAACTTTCCTCCCTTGCATGAGTGACCCAAAAGTTCCATGGGGAGACAACATCTTCCGAGGTTGCAAGGAACAAAGTAGAAATAACGACAAGCTCAAACTTCACTTCGCTCCCGGGGTGCCTTATTTTTATTGGCCTATATCCAGCAGCAGAAATAAAAAAGATTTATTAACATTTTATTTCTGACCAACGGAGGCCAGCAGGGTGTGGTGATCATAGCAGCAGCAGAAAGGATTTAGGTTAGACTTGAGGAAGAGCCGCTTCCTGGTTTACTAGGAGGATGTCTGTAAAAGAGAATTAGATACATTTCCCCTTAGGCAGTGTTTCCCAACCAGAGCTTAGGAAACAGCCCCACACACAGCTCCGACCTCTTTGTACCGGAATCATTTGAGAGCTTGTTAAAATTTTTAATGACTGGTCCTGAACGCCCCACCATCTCTCATACCTGCAAATACAACCCAGACTTACTGGACCTGAGTTTGGGGAGCACGGCCTGAACTTCCTCTCTTAGCTCAGACAGTTTCAGCATTGACTAAAGTGGAATGTTGATAAAGCCCTGGGAATAGGTGTTGCCCTACCCTTCCCTGCTCTGCCAAACTCTGGTCCTATCCAGCATGGGGGTGGGGACTCCCTCTTTTGTAACCAAAGTTGTCACGACCAACTCTGAGAAGCCAGCGTGGACTTCCCCCGAAGCCCCAGTTCACACACACACACACACCATCCTCTCCCCCAGCCTCAGCCCTAGGGATTTTCCCTAACTGAATATCTACTGAATGCAGCTTTTCCTTGAGTCGTTAGCGCCAACCTCTTCCTTTCCTCCCACGTTTACTTCCCAGCAGCTGCCTTGAGTCACATATTCCTGGCTTGGTTCCTAGCACAGGCTCAGACACAGAGAAGGCACTCGATTCCTACTTGCAGAATGGCACCAAAGTGATCCTAATGGTTACCTCTGATTTGCAGTATAATAGTTGATGATTTTCTTTATGTGCTGCTTCATGATAAACATTAAAAGGTAGTTTTTTGTTTCACCAACACCAAATTCATTTTCATCAATTGGATCATATTTTGCTTTCTGGCATCCCATCCTTGGCAGTTCCCTCTGCCTGTCCCCAGCTCCATCTGTCAATTTTAGGTCCCTGGTCCCACCCCTCCATACCTGATCGCCCTGGCACTTTTTTGGGTGCAACAAGGGGCAACCCTGCCAGTGAGTGAGTCCCTGGCTCCCTGCCATTCTGCAAACCTCCACCCCAAATACCTTCTTCCTCTCTACTCATCTCAAATACCTCTGAAGGAAAGGACTAATTTTGTTTTGCTTTGCTTT